GTGTTGTACCTCCCCAGGGATCGGCGAGCGATCAAAGGCATGCTGCACCGAGTAAGGAAAGACACTGCTTGCGTGCTCCCTCACTGTAGATGTAAGCATATGTCGTTTGGTATCTAAGATTATTTGAGGGTTTGTCCGAAGCAGCGCTCCAGCAGTGTGTGTGTGTGATTCTGTTTTGCCCTCTGCTCGTTATCTCGGGCTCGCCGGTGTCGTGTCCTAAACGTACTCCAAGGGCTTTGGCCGTGATTAGAGCGACGGAGATATGTCAAGAGGAGGCCGTGCTGATCGGTGCCCGCGGCGCTTTCCTCATCGGAGCAGATATTGTTGACAATGAAGACCGCGTTTTATTGCATTGCTATATTGAGACACTCGAAACGACGCCCGTTGACCTGCCGTGCTGCACGCCTGTGACTGTCACAGTCGGCTGGTGAAGTAGGTCTGTACGCCCGTCAAGAGGCGGCGTCAAGCCGGGCCAGTGCGCCAGGTCCGATCACCGGCGGACCTGGAGCGAGGTCTGCCTCGAGAGGCGGGTGGTCAAGCCGAGCCAGTGCGCCAGGTCCGATCACCAGCGGACCTGGGAGCGAGGTCTGCCTCGAGTGGCGGCGTCAAGCCGAGCTAGTGCGCCAGGTCCGATCACCGGCGGACCTGGAGCGAGGTCTGCCTCGAGAGGCGGCGGTCAAGCCGAGCCATTGCGCCTGGTTCCGATCACACGCGGACCTGGAGCGAGGTCTGCCTCGAGAGGCGGGTCAAGCCGAGCCATTGCGCCAGGTTCCGATCACCGGCGGACCTGGAGCGAGGCCTGCCTCGAGTGGCAGCGGCACTTCCCAATGACGCCGGTCACAGCGTGCACGGGTGAATCAGGAGGAAAACGCCCACCACTTCGTCACGCGCACCCCTGTCCGGCCTCCCATATCGGCCAAAACCGGCCCAAATCGCGGCGCGGCCGGCGCGTCCGCTCGGCTCGGTCCGTCTCCGGCCGCCTTCGCTGCGTCCGTGCGTGAGCGGCACTAGTCGACCTTGCCACCGTCACCGGCGTGGGCTGCTTGGCCGGAGCTGCTTGGCCGGTCGGGCCGGCTGTTTTTGTGTGCCGCCGACTGTCGAGGGCGAAGCTTCCCGCCGGCCGAGAGCCGCTCAGGTCGCCGCGGAACCGGGCCGCAAAAAAGGTGGCGTCTGTCGGGGCGGCGGGCCCGCGGCGCGACGCTCGGTCGGCCGGAGCCAGACCAGGGCCCCGCCTGACTCCGGCTGAAGGAGGGCCGCGCGGTGCAGCGCGCCGGCAGACCAGGGGCCGGTCCAGGTGTGGCCGGCGCTGAGGACGGCCTGCTTGCGGGTGCTCGGGGCGTACGGCCGTGGCCGCGCTGGACTGGAGCTGGTCTGGAGCGTGCTGCAGTCAGCGGACTGAAGCGGGACCATCAGCACGCTGTTTGTTTGACCTTCCCCGCTACGTGGCGACACTAATGGGCGCGCACGTGAGCCTTTGCATAGACAGTGCACGAACCATGCAAATGCGAATGCAAATGCGCGTGTCGTGTAACAGGCAGGCATGTAGCGTGCAGTCTCTAGATAATGTCGCCGGAGACGGGAGCGAGTTTCGAAGGGTTGAAGTGAAGCCCCGCCACTGCTCGCGGCGTAGATAGCTATTTGAGGAAGGCTCAGCAGCTAACCAGTAGCTAGCGATTCAAGCGGTTCATTGTAGTAAGACTTGGAGTAGTAGCGGCATGCCACAGCCCGTGTCGTGGCGGCGTGATCGGCCGATTCGCCGGAAACGGGCACACTACAGCGGTACAGCGGCCAGCAGCAGCGGCCAGCAGCTGGGGTCGGCGCGACCGACCGAAGCCGCTTCGCCGAGCGCTCGCGGCGCCGGCTCAGCTGGCGTCGGGCTGCGCCGCTGCATGGTATGGACGGTGGGCTCGGCTCGGCTCGGCTCGGCTCAGCAGCGCAGGCCGGCGTGGCTGACGGGAACCTTTTCAAGGCGACCCGCGCTGTGGGAAGGGTTTTGTGGGATGGATACGTGTGGCCGTGCTGCGTCTTGCTCCACAGTTATCTGACGCGTAATGGCTGATGGTCCGTCGGGCCCGGGTACGGAGATGTATCCGGATATTGTGGACAGCTCGCGATCTTATCTTTTGGACACACACCCGGGCGGAATTCGCCGCGCGTCGCGTGCGAGGCACCGGACGCTATCTCGGAGCTGTGGCGCAGGCCGGAGGATTGTCCGAGGTCGGCTCCGAGGGGCCGCCGCGGACGGCTCCTGGCCGCGGCGGGGCGGGGACGGCCGCCCACGCCAGCTCTCCCTGACCGCGGCGCATCATGCTGAGGTGAACACTGAACCCCATGCACGCGCACCACTGCCAGGCTCCGGGCTCCGTCATGTGGTGCGTCCACGCTCCGGATAGGGAAACACGTGCCAGTTGTGTGGGAGGGTGGTGAGTGCATGTGCACGGCTTATGGTGCAGTGCGGGTTGTGCACAGCGTGAAGCCCGTGCATTCGGCGCTGCGGGCTGTGATAGCGGCTGTGACGCACGGGTGGTTGTGCATGCAGTCTGCATGCCGCTGATAACCCTCGCCGAAATGGACAGCGCACTCGCCACTATCTGCCACTATCAAATTTACAGTCGAGCTGTTTGACAACTGATGCAACGGCGGGCTGATGTGACCGGCGCTGCCATGTTTGAATGCCATCCGCCCGCGGGTCGTGCTCGAGCAGTTTACACTGTTATCGAGCAGGCTGTGGTCGGCCTCAGGGAGAAAACTTACACTGTTATGACGAGAAACTCCGCTGTCGGTCCGATGCGGCCGCGTTTGTGTTGGGTCAGCTGGGCACATGCTGAGGCACCCAGCAGAAATCAGCGCAGGAAATGGTATCGGTAGATGTAAAAAAGCGCTACAAATAGCGCTGAATTCTCAACATGAGAATACTGGGGCGCCGACCAGTACCGAACAGCTGCATAACTGTCCTGTCCTGTCCCTGGCCTGGCCTGACCTGACCTGACCTGACCTGACCTGACCTGACCTGGCCTGGCCTGGCCTGGCCTGGTGGCCTGGTGTCCTGTCCTGTCCTGTCCTGTCCTGTCCTGTCCTTCCCATACGGCGGGCAGGTGCGTTGCCGGAGTGTTCAAAAGACAAACGCAAGCTGTTTTGTGTCCTGAATGTGAAAGTACCGCAGCACGACAAAAATGTATGCACATTTAGCCGTGAAATCCACAGGGCGGTGCAGTGGCATGCCGCCAGAAGTCTCCGTCATGCGCGTGGCACGTAAAATGTCAGCTGACTTACAACTGACATATAGCTTTAATTTCATTCCATGTTTCTTGGCCAGTGTCGTGTTAAATATGATGTCTTTGACGGCTACGGCTGACATTCTGTCACGCGATATGAATGTATTACACACAACGATGCAACAGACGTAACATCACTGGATAACGTGAGTAATGATCATAAATCACTTGCCGTTATCCACAGTGTAATGCTGCATGTAGTGTCGAAGCAAATGCGATGCAAATTTTGACAGACATGGTGCACGTCTCCTTCTGCCAAGCTTTGTCAGTCATCGCATTGCTCGAGAAATTTCCCTAGAGGTGATTGTGTCCGGAAACCCATGCAAGCATGGCAAATATAGCGGAATTGTTATGCCTTTTTTGTCTTTGATTCATACTTCATTTGACAATTGTTTATTAACAATCTCGGTAAGCTGTTGGCTGACACAGATCTGGAGTTTCTCAACCCACGCCTTCCGTGGAACGGGATCGCAAGCGGTCGCCGTGTTCTGGGAGCCGGCCGTCGCTTCCCGAGCATGGTGCGTACATTGTGCGGGGCAGTGCGCGGCACTGCCGGCGCCGCCGTCCCGGGACGCCCCCCGTGTCCGCTGACGTCATCAGTAGGTTCGACGCGGCGTCATGACCCGGCGGCGCCCGAGGGCTCGAATCGCGCCGGCACCTGTGTAAACAGGTACTGGGCACCGAGCCGCCCACCACCTGGCGGCGGCCACGGGGTACG